AAAGAAAAAACATTCTCAGGAAAATAGAAAATTTTATCAATAGACCCACTCAGCTCCCTACCCCTCCAGCCCTTGGGAGAGGATTTCTTTATGGAAAGTGTGACCCCAAAGACAGAAACCCAGTTTGTGTTTTCTGTTCTGTGTTCCCCAACTGCCTATCTGGGTCTGTTTTCTTCTTAAATACATTGAAACAACATCTTTTTTTTGTATTCCTCATAAAGAGTTTTGAGGAAAAAATGAAAAGTAAAATAAAAGTTATTATGAACATGGCACACTTAAAAAGAATGAAGCACCAGATAACTGTATAACAGAGAAATTAGCCAATGCTTATAACGTCCTAATTTGATCAATGTCATTCTGAGCACTTGACATAAATGCTCTTGACTAGTAGTAACAAGATAGAGTAAATTTAATTAAACATTTTTCAAGCAAACTAGCAACACTTTTCAGCCCTCTCCATGTACCACTCCCCTGCGATTCCAGGACAGGAAGCAGAATAATCTCTGAGCCTCGTGGGCTCTGTAGGAAGGTCAGTGCAAGCTGTTGTACTCTACAGGGTCTTGACCGACTGAGAGAAAACAGTCTTTCCCAGAGCGGAAGGGAGCCAAATTGTATCCTCTCCTTCTCATAATTCCCCGTGCCAGGATGAAGGTATTGGCTGTAGTTGTAAACCCTGTGAATAAAAAGATAACAATGAAATGCACATTTCATTCCATTTGCGGGTATTTCAAAGGACTCCGGGGTTGACCAGGGGACAGGGAGGGAATAACATGGTAGTTATTTAAAGAACAAGAGGTTCAGTCGCATGGTTTTTTCCAACTGCTGCTGGACTGATGTGTCCACAAAGAAAATATTTAACATGTTGGCTCCCAAGGGCAGGAACTAAACAGATCCTGGCTTTTTTGTTGCTCTTACCTTTGTTTTCCTTCTCTAAAGGAAATACCTGCAATCTGATAACTGGAAGCTTCTCCAACACGAATACTCACTAACAACTCCCAAATAGAGCAGGGATAGGCCCTGTAAATGTACAGTTTTCTTGGTCATTGGTGGAAATAAAGTAAAACTAAAATTTTGTAGCTGGTGAGCTGACTGGTTGGTGTCAATCTTTCATTTTGTTAAATGTTTTTTTGTGTGCCAAGTACTGTATCAGGTGTTGAGTGGGATTTTAAGGGGAAAAATATACTCTCTGCCCTTCATAATACCAAGGGGACATTTTTGAGTGTTCATCTACGCAGGCACTATTGTAAGTACCCTACATGTATCAGCTGAAAGATCCTCATCACGGTCCACGTGATAGGTGCTATCATTGTCATCACTATTTTACACATAATGAAACTGAGGCAAGGAGAGGTTAAGCAACTAGCTCAAGGTCACCGGCTAGTGAGTTGAGTTGCTGGGATTTGAACCCCAGCAACTGACTTTAGTGCTCATGAGACTCACCACTGCACTGACCACCTCTCCCGAGGGATATGACAGATAACAGGCGTGATCACACCTTTCAGTCAGTACTGCCCACATTGTCTGCAAATATGTGCTTCAGAGAAGGAAGATGATTGATTTAAAAAGCTGTCATGGAGGGGGAGAACCATAATTGTCTTCTCTCTTTTCTTTTTGTTACACAACAGGTAGGAACTTCACAGGCAAAAGTGGGGCGAGGCCATCAGCAGCTAAGGGGAAGGGATGAGTCATCCTGGTACAAAGAGCTATTTAGCACAGTGCTTCTCAAACTTTGATACAAATGTTAGTCACCTGTTTATTGTTGAAAGGCAGTCCAAGCCCAGCTGAAGGCTGCACAAGGGGTATCTGAAATCCAACCAGATGAGGCTTGGCCCACAAACTCAGTATCTGTCCTGTTTCAAATAGACACGCAGGCACAGAAAACCAACTTCTATTAGGCTCTCTTTATTCTTCAGCTCTCTTTATTCTTCTTCAACAAAATCTGAAACTTTCATCTGATCCAATAAAATTCTTAATAACCTTTTTTTTATTTCTCTCTTTTTAAATATATTTTTATATGTTCTAAGGAAAATAATTACTTACAAATGAGAACATTTCCCTTATTCCACAGTCACTTTCTTAAAATCAGTGCCTTAAAAATATTTTAAGTCTGAGACTTAGCTAGACAATTATTTATTTAATGTGTGTTATAATTTTCTCTTAAATAATTAATTATCTAGCAATTAGGAAGAAAACTAGTTGGGCTCAAAAACTCTAGCGTATAGCTTTAAACTTCACTTCCCTGACAGAAATCCAGCAGAATTTGTCACTATGAAATTAGCAGGACGGATGTGTCTCTGTGGCTGAGGCCCTGATATCCTCTGGAGGGCTGTGTGTGTGCACATGTGTGCATTATGCATGCCCATGCATATATTCATAGATTATAATAAAAGAAGAGGGTTTTTTTAAAAAAGAGACTTATTTTTTTATGCCAATGGTCATGAGTTGAAATAAGTGGCTTGGAAACATCTCCCCTCCCACCCCTGTTAAAATACATGCCTTGACTCTAACTCCCTAGACAGGTGGTATAGGAAACCTTCAGTTAGTTATTAATGACTCAATGGGAGTATAATTATCAAATTCTCTGTATTTTTTAACAAGTGAGAATATATCCCATGAGTAATGGGAGCTTTGCTGAAGGGCAAGTTGGAATAATAAATTGGGACCTGGGATCTTCAGGGCACCTGAGGAACAAGCACAGAGCCCTGAATGCTGTGAGGTAGTAACCGGATACAGGTAACCAAAGACCAACTTGGTTACTTGATCAACTCCACAAATTTCTGCAGACCAGTTTTGTCTTCTAACTCATTCATTAAAATCAGACATGATTTTTGGTCACGTGGACAGTTTTCAAGGATTAGCTATCCTTTACTACACCGGAATTTGTCTTTCTTCTGGCTCAGGCATATAGTCAGATCCCAGGCTGTCTTCCTTATTAGGAACAGATTTGGTATTTTTAGAAGATTCTCAAATGATCTTCAAACCCATATATCCCCTTAGGATTCAGGACTTTAATGACTAGAGAAACTCTACTATTCCCTTTGCACTAGATACAATGCGAAGACTAAGGGTTGAGACTTTGCATGCTCTCTCTCCTCCCCGCACCCCGCCGATCCCTTCCTTCTCTGTTTTCTGTCTCTTTACTCCTTTTCTCTCCCTCTTTCTCTCCTTCCTTCCCTCCTTCTTCTGGTTTATTTACATGTTTAATCCACTTGCTCTTGGCTTACTCTTACTACCCTAAAGCCTAGGTTAATATTATATCTTCTAGAAAGTCTCCTCAACCACCCTTCTTCAGCCTCCCACTCCCCATATTACATGAAATACCATCTTCTGTGCTATCATAGAATCCTGTCCTCCCTGTATCATAGTTCTTATTTTATATTGTAATTATCCTCTTATTTGAGTTGTACACATTTCACCAGGGGGTGATTTGACCCTTGAGACTGGGGTACAGTTAAATTAAACCTTACACCTATTGGATAATAATTACCAATAGATAATGTGGGGGGCGGGGGAGCGGTTAATGACTAAAAGAGAGCATGAGGGGTTATAGGGTTTCTGATAGTTCTGTTTCCTGATATGACTGCTGTTACAGGAAGGTATTTTCTTCATGAAATGTCATTCACCTATAAGCATATCATTGGTGCACTTTCTGTATGTATTTTATCCTTCAAGAAGAAAGTTTACATTACAAACAAACAAACCAAAAAATATACTAGCCATTCCAAATCCTAATTGGAAAGAAAGGCCAAGCATAAACATAAAAAAAAATGTTTTTAAAGTGTTTAAAGCCCCTACGAATTCTCATCTTATTTGAAGGGAAAAGTAACTGTTAGAAAGAAAAAACACTGCAGCTCCAAGTCATGGTGAGATGCTTTGGGAACAACTTGTTTACATAGTCGCCTAACACAGATCTCCCTTTTGGAATACGCAGTGAACACTGCGGAGTCTGATTGGTTTTAATACCTTCTATTCTGAAGCATCATAGTATTTCATAAATTGCACTTAGGAGGCATTAAGCTGAAATCTGCTGTGACCAAAATCACAGAGCTCTTGCAGCAGCGCCCCCCTGCGGCGCTCTCATCCCGCCGTACACTGCAATGGGATAGTACGGGTGTCAGACACGGGGAGAGCAGGAGTATACGAAAGAGATTATAGTCGGGCCCTTAACGCTGATCACGGTTAGATAAAGGTAACTCTTTCTTTGCTATTTAAGGTGACCTTCCATTATGGTGGAACCTGTGTTTGCAATCAATGGGGTATAGGATGTTGAGGGTTGGCAGTAAGGAACTCTGATACTTCCAGCACTGAGGAGAAGAGTGGCTTCAGCTCATGAAACAGCAGGGGGAAGAATGGGAATCTTGAGCATGCACCAGCCTGTCTTTGAGGCCCTCCAGAAATGCTTGTCAACAAACAGCATCTCCTTGCAGAAGTTAGCACCTAAAGAGGCAAGCATGCGTGTTGGAAAACTGAAGTTTAATACATGTAGATCTATGGGAGTATAAAGTGGTACAACCCCTTTTGATCATTATCAGGCAATCCTAGTAAAGCTGAGGATGTGCATCCTCTGTGACCCAGCAATTCCATTCCTTGGTACATGCCCTGTAGCATCCTGCCCACAGGTACCCATGGAGACACGCTTAAGGCTCTTGCTAGCAGCAGCGTTTGTAATTCTATCCGCATGAAACTGGATAAATGAATTATGACATGCCCATACAATGAAATACTGTTCAGCAGAGATGCCCTAACAAAAATGGCATGTATAACATGCATTTATCTCACCAATATGCTTTTCATTATAAATGCAAGCTTCAGAAGAATGCGATGTGATATTATTTTGCAAAGTTTAAAAACAGGCCAAAAATAATGTAGTTTTGTTAGGGATTCATCCATATGTAAAAAATAGGCTTATTATTCATTCAAAAGTATTCATGACTGACTTTGGGCTAAGCACCCTTCCTGAACTAAAGAGGGAAATGAGAGAAGTAAGAAGAGTGGTCACTGTGCTCGCTTCAGCAGCGCATGTACCAAAATTGGAATGATAGCACACGGAGGATTAGCAAGGCCCCTGTGCAAGGATGGCATGAAAACTGGTAAAGCATTCCACAAAAGAGGGGGTGATCAGTGACCTCAAAGGCTTACAGTCTAGACAGGATGAAGCGACACACAGGAAAATACCGACAACAGTGTAAGCATTTCACAATGAAGGAGCCTGTATCTAAAAAGAAGACACAGCTTAAGGCAAAAGTGCACACGGACCCTGTCTCCCAGGCACGTGGCTAACGATGAGGGGACCATGGGAATGAGGCAGACCCAGCTCCCCAGGAGCCCAGGACATCAGTCCTGCTCTGGCCTCCTGGCTCTTCTTCCAGAATGCAGCGCGATCCGTTCCCTAGCCAAGCGCTCCCACTCAGCCTGGGCTGTTTCAGACACTTTGAACAACGACTGAAATTCTGCGCAAGGGGTCATTTCACGCTGTGTTGTACTTCTTTTTCAATATAAGTGCCACAACTCTTTGCCTAGAGGTGTAACAATGATAGGGGCTATATTCATCAGTCATTCAATCGCCTTGTATTTGAAGAGCACTTTGAAATTATTTTTCCCCCAGAGTAATTTATATAAGAACATATTGGTTTAGACTAGAGCCTGTGCTCTCCTTCACAAAAGAACCAAGGGGTGCATTGTAGGAGGGCTCGGTTGTCCTTGTTACAACCATCTATGGGAATTCAATTGGGGGCAGAGGGGAGTGTTACCGGTCATTGCATGATACCAGAAACTGAGCAAGGAAAGTGCCCAGGGCAGTGTTCTATCATAACAATGGAGGGAATAACTTGCAACATTTTTTTACAACCTGTATGAGGCTAATGACGGCAATAACCAGTCAACTAAATAGGAACAGATACACACACATATTATTGGAGTCATAATTCTAAAGATGTCCATTATCATTAAATGGCATACAGAAAGCCCAGATGTAGTTTATGGTAGAATTAGTATTACTCTTGCATTAAATACCTATTAGACATCTGGAACCCAAAACATGGTAGCTAAACATTACTAACATTTAGAATCTATGATTCTAAATGCTTCAATAATATGCACATGTGTGTTAATTTATGCTTTATAGCTTCACAGCCTGTTATGGGAGGATTAAATCTAACCCTGACTTTGCCCAGATGAGTACACTGAAACCCAGATGGGTTAGGTAGCAAAGTTTAACAGTTTGTGAAGAGCCCTCCTTATTCCCCCAGCACAGAGCTTCCCATTTTCCATCAGTGAACATAACAGTGCTAAATTGTTGGCAATAACTCATAGAGGCAGTGGCTCTCGCTTAAACTTCCATTTGGGTTTGAAGTTGAGGGATGATGCTGAAATAAGCTAATTTTCCATTGATGGGCAACAGGGGCTGGGAAAATAAAAGGAGGATTGTTGTTTTCCCCTCTGAGTAGGAGGAGAGGTGGGCAGGAGCTGCCTGCCCCATGCAGGATTTGTTAACCATGAGTCCCCTTGTTCAGGAATACTTCATAAAAATCATGCATATCCTCTGTCAATGGTGGTATCTATGCTGCCACAAAGAAATCAGAATAGTGAGTGCAAGAAACATGAGGCATATAAAGCTCAAAATAAAAGAGCAAGGGCTTTAATGTCCCTTGAAATATATGATGGGCTGAATCACTGGGATATACTTGAGTTTGTTTGGTTTTCGCTGCAGAGGAAAGGGAAAGCTAAGGTTGCTATTCCTCAGGCCTGGACTGTCTATCTGCAGGCAGGCTTGGTGCCCCCATAAAAGCTCTGGCATGTTGGAAGCAGGTCATTCGTTTATGCTTCCGTTGGTTCCTTTGGGGCTAAGCAGTAGTGCTAACGTCTGAATTGCTCTGCCACCTGCATATCGAACCCAAGTTCTTCTCCCTGTGAGGTCTTTTAAGGGTCCAGGCTAGTCCAAGTCAGGGGTAGAGCTTGCCTCACCTACATGTCTCTGACTGGCTCTAAGAACAGATCATTCTACCCAGCTGTTAGTAAATCACAGGGCCGCCTCAAGAGCCACTCAAGATGGCCCCGGGTTTAGCTTGTATCCCCTATTGACTGAGCAGTGCTTATTTTCCCAAAGCACTGATCTGCAGACTTTGACTCCTCCTGTTTGGATTGCTTAGATCTGTGTATGTCATTTTCTTTGTCTTAGTTCTCTGGACCCAGGCACCTTACCATCTGTTATTTACAGTCTCTTAGGATTAGATGAAATGTGGTATTGATCTTGCACTTAACAGTCTTACCAGGGGTTAGTCCCATACAAGTCAGGCAACCTCCAGAGAACTAGCTGCAGAATCTAACCCTGCCTTGATCCAACACGCCATCCTTGGCACTAGCAGGGCTGCTGACCTGGTGCCCATATGTGCCACAAGCTATAAAGAACCACACAGTTCAATGTGAAGATCACCCCTGGTCCCACAGAACATAAGACCACCAGAATAAGAAGAGAGCTGAGAGGTAGCAGAGGCAGGAATTGATCCCAGGTTCCATCCTCCATGTCTTTTGATCTTTCTGTCCCTCATTAGCTGGATGGTCTTAGGACGGCTATTTCATTTCTTTGAGCCTTAAGTTCATCATTTATAAAATGGAAATAATAATACTAACTCCATTCAGTGGCAATTACACCTATTACAGTTCTTGCTGTGGAGCTGGGTGCATGATAAGCTTTTAATAAAAACTGACTCTTATCATTATTATCCTAATTAATAGAATATATGAAAGTGCCTGGAATAGAGTAGTTGCCAAACAAGTGTTTGTGGAAGGATGCTGATTATTCAAGGTCTTTTTATTAATCTCCTTACAGATTTATATAAAAACAGGTGCCCATCAATCTTTTTACCAACTCTTTTCTTCCCTGTGCCATGTAATTATCGCTATGGTTAGTCCAGGGTCCTAGAGAGAACCATGACATAGTGTACACAATGATGCTTAGGTACTTGTGTGGCACTAAACGGTGTTTACATCTTTCATTTCTTGCTTCCTTATGATACCAGAGTTGGGCATTTGAACAGGCGTTATCCCTTTTCAGTTGAGGTTAGATCCTCTAACAAGTTAAGTGTCAGCACAGAAACCAGAGGCCAGATTATACAACTTCTCAGTCTGGTTCCATATCACAGGCTGAGTCTATTACCTGCTCCAATTCCCCTCAAAACCTGTGAATGAGGTCATTAAAAACAGCCATGTCCCCCATAACCCCTTCCATTGGTCCTGAGTTTATGTTAAAGAAAGCCATTCTGCAGTGCATAAACTATCAGTGTACTTACCCCTGTATAAGAGACATTGGTGACCTTGACATATCTTGGTCCATAAGGTGCCTGTCGTCTCTTTGGAGGGACAGTGAGGACAGCAGCATGAGGCCAGATACAGTGTTGTCACCACAATGTAAAAGAGCATTAGAAGACTTGCACTTTAACCTGACTCCATGTAGATTAGATGCTTGATTTTGTGTAACTCATTGATATCCTTGAGTTTCAAGTGACTCAAAGAAGGTTTTTTCATTGTTCTTCTTCTAGAGACTACATAGAAACAAGACAAGCAAAATGAACCCTTAGGCAAACAAAGACACAAAGGATTGCCTACTTAAGATCCGGCCCAGGTTGGGAGAAAAGATCTTCATTTTACACACCCATACAGGCCTACTCACACCCCCCAGAGTACTGGCATAATAGAAACAGAAGCAAAAAAGCAAACGGTATTACACCAGTTTTAAATCTGTCCAGTCTGGGATGCATTTCTTTACTTGCAATTACAACACCCCTCTGGATTTGTTAAAGTGCCTTAGTGCCCTGATGAACATCTGTATGCCTGCGACATAGTGCATATCAGAAGGAAATAAACCTCTGGAGGAAGATGGTTAAGACATTGCAGTATGGCAACCCATTAAGAAAGCCAACCCACATTAAGGAGAATGAAACTCGGGAAGAATTACTGAGAGCCACCTATGCCACTAGATTCCTTCACAAAATAAGTTGTTGTGCAGCACTGAAGAGAGACATTTGCAATACAAGGGCTCCTGGAAAATGGAAGGTTCTAAAATATATTCACAGCTGTCTCCCCTCGGGGTTTAGTTTTTGCTCCAGAGCCAGTTTCAGAGTCTTATTTCAATGGAAAGCTTTTACTTGATCTGAAATGCATTGCGATTTCATCAGGTAGAATCCATTGAGGGAAATTACGTCCTGCAGTGATGTACGATTCATTCATTCACATCTCTGAGCTATTTAGAGGAAATAATCCCTGGATTGTATCATTAGTTTAAAAGCGACTGCAGTTTTCTTTGTCAGTATAATTTTAAGCCACATAGGATCATTAGTTGGGAAAACATACTTGAAAGGATATACAACTAGTTCTGTCACTGGAACAGTATGATTTATGTTGGAGAGATACAGCACTGGAAATTAAACTTTTAAGTATAAGTCATCCTTAGGACAGACATCTGAGCCCCTCTTCTCCTTTGACACACTACACAACAATCCAGAGGCTGAGAGATGTCCAGAAAGTACAAGGATATTTCTCAGGGTACAGAACACTATTGTGAAGACATCCACAGTACAACTGCAAAATTGGTGTAATGATAAAATGCACCTCCATTGGCTCACTCAGCAAAAAGTCAAGAAGCTGTTCTCAGGCTTCATTATTCTATGTGCCGTTATTCTATCGGACCATTAAGCAGCCTTAGCTTTCTTTCTCAGTTTGGTGGCCTCCTTGAGGGTTGTCAGTGTCTGCTGCTGACAAGTTCCTTGGCCATGAATTAGGAGGCAAAAATGCTGATTATATCTCTGCTCAAATTGCTGACACTGCCATCTTAGGGTCCTGTTCTTGACCTTTAGATCACCTCTTCTTCTCTTCCCCGATAAGGGTAAAATTCAATATGAGATGAAATTCAATATGAGATCCATAAATGTCACGCTGTGGTTTTACCATCTAGAAACATCAGGGCAAACAAATCTTATCTTTTGTTCTCTTTGTATGTCTTACTACCCAGCACCAGCTGAATCATGCAAATCTTTCTTAGCAATTAAATATAGTATGAAATTGCTACATAAACTACTTAAGCAGATGGATGATGGAAAAGGCAAGGGTGAGTGG